CCACTGCTCCTCCTGGAGAAATTATTTTAATCACCCTTCCTTGCTATTAAAGTCCTGATAAGGAGTCTGGTAGGAAGATAGGATAAAATGATTGGAAATATTTCTTCCTAGTCTAGAGTTTATGACCCATGATACTCCATGGAAAAATGAGAGTTTGCCACGTGGGATTTGAAAAGAGGATCTTCTCTTCTCCCTCCATGTCCTACTCCACCAAGAAATTCTTATTAGGGGATCCCTGGGTGGCTCAGCAGTTTAGCACCTGCCTTCAGCCCAGAGCATGATTCTGGGGTCCCAGTATCAAGTCCCACATAGGGCTCCCTGCATGGAGCCTACTTCTACCTCTGCCTGTGTCTCTGTCTCTCTCTCTCTCTCTCTCATGAATCAATAAATAAAATCTTTAAAAAAAAAAGAAATTCTCATTACACCAATGGTGCTCATAATATTTTGCTTTGTGGATTTAGAAATTTAAACCAATTTTCTACTTTCCCCACTTATGATAAAGTAATACTTTATCTTGCCAGAATTAATGAGAAAAAAAATCTTATCCGAAAGTCCAATTTCTAAATCACAACTGAGACAAAAGACCAACTTATCCTTGGGCAGCCCCAATGGTGCAGGGGTTTAGCGCCGCCTGCAGCCCAGGGCATGATCCTGGAGACCCTGGATCGAGTCCCACGTCAGGCTCTCTGTATGATGCCTGCTTTTCCCTCTGCCTGTGTCTCTGCCTCTCTCTCTCTCTCTCTCTCTCTGAATAAATAAATAAAATCTTAAAAAAGACCAACTTATCCCAACACAAATGACCATATTACAAAAGACATATCAGAAGACCCTACATTGAAAGCCTTATGTACCACATAGTAAACAAAATCCTCTAGAATGATTTTGCTGTACTATTATAGTGAATATATACCTGGACCTGGCACCAAGTCATTATTAAAAATGAGATATAAGACTTCCACTTTTGGCCAAGATAGACCAGATTTATTCTCCCATCTGAAAAAAAAAAAACACAAAATAACGACCCTTCAAAATATGAAAAAGGGTTTTCAAGACAGCAAACATTTACTACCCTGAGTACAATTTCAGGCCACGGTGCAGGCTGGGAAATCTAAGCCCATCCCCTGAATGAAAGAAATGGACCTCTAGGTACAAGGAGGCTGAGATAGCTAGAATTCATGAGCTGTAATCTCATAGAGGAAGGATCTTCACAGAGAACTCTAGAGATGTAGAGAGGGTCCTCCCTGAGCATTCAGCAGAATACTGATCACACCAAGCCTGGGAGGGAATTATCAGAGGCCATTGAAAAAAAACACCTGAAAGGATTAGAGGTAACAGTGCTTGGTACTTACACACAGGTGCAGAAGTAGGACATGTTCCTATCATCCAGAATGAAAAACCTCAAGATTTATGGGATACTGGATAGAATACTCAGAAGGATCTTGCCTCAGTATTGGGGAAAATAAGTCCTAAACTGAGCAATACTTACCTAAGGAATCTTACAAACAAGATTTGAAAGGAACAGCTTTTGAATAATTCAACTGTGTTCTAGGATAAAAAAAAACTAAAGAATGTTTATAAGATTACAAAATATCCAACATTCAACAAGCTACAATCACAATATCTGGAACCAAATAAAAAATTAGTAGGCATGCAAAAAAAAAAAAACAGATATATGACCCATAATGAAGAGTAAATTCTTCTATCCAGAAGTAACTCAGATGATACAATTAGTAGACATGGCCATTAAATAGTTTTTTTTTTAAATTTTTATTTATTTATGATAGTCACAGAGAGAGAGAGAGAGAGAGAGACAGAGACACAGGCAGAGGGAGAAGCAGGCTCCATACACCGGGATCCCGACGTGGGATTCGATCACGGGTCTCCAGGATCGCGCCCTGGGCCAAAGGCAGGCACTAAACCGCTGCGCCACCCAGGGATCCCCATTAAATAGTTTTTATAACATATATTAAAAAGTTAATTAGAGAAAGGGAATATATATAAATGACACAAATGGAACTGCTAAACATTAAAATAATAATTTTGGAGATGAAAAAGCACACTGGATAGGATGAATGGCAAATAAGATATTGTAGAAGAAAAGATTGTTCAACTTGAAGTCATAGCAATAAAGCCAATTCAAAATAAGACAAGGAAGAGAAGTAACAAAAATTAACAGGGCATTAGTGAACTGTGGGACAATTTCAAATGTGTTACTATACGTGAGTTAAGTCCATGCAAGGGTGGTGGTGGAAGGGGAAGATCAGAAAAATATTTTATTTTATTTTTTTTATAAATTAATTTTTATTGGTGTTCAATTTACCAACATACAGAATAACACCCAGTGCTCATCCCGTCAAGTGTCCCCCTCCGTGCCCGTCACCCATTCACCCCCACCCCCTGCCCTCCTCCCCTTCCACCACCCCTAGTTCATTTCCCAGAGTTAGAAGTCTTTATGTTCTGTGTCCCTTTCTGATATCTCCCACACATTTCTTCTCCCTTCCCTTATATTCCCCTTCACTATTATTCATATTCCCCACAGAAAAATATTTTAAATAATAAGGGACAGGGCTGCCCGGGTGGCTCAGCAGTTTAGCACTGCCTTTGGCCCAGGGTGTGATCCTGGAGACCCGGGATCGAGTCCCACGTCGGGCTCCCTGCATGGAGCCTGCTTCTCCCTCTGCCTGTGTCTCTACCTCTCTGTCTCTCTGTTTCTCATGAATAAGTAAATAAAATATTTGAAAACAAAAAAAAGTAAATAATAAGGGACAAATTTTTTTCAAATTTGGTGAAAACTATAAATCCACAGGTCCAAGAGCCTTAATAAATATAAAACCCAAGAAACACAAAGAAACTACACCAAAACACATCGTGATCACATTATATGTCAAGGAACAAAGATGACAGCAGCTTTCTCATTAGAAATCATGCAAGTGAGAAACATTTGAGCAACATCTTTACAGTTCTGATAGTATTTTTAAAAAGTCTATGCAGAATTCTAATCCCAGTGAAAACAGCTGTCAAAATCCATGGTGAGAGATTTCTGGGTGGCTCAGTGTTTGAGAGTCTGCCTTTGGCTCAGGTCATGATCCTGGGGTCCCAGGATCGAGTTCTGCATCAGGCTCCCTGCAGGAAGCCTGCTTCTCCCTCTGCCTATGACTCTGCCTCTCATTCTGTGTCTCTCATGAATAAATACATAAAATCTTGTTTTTAAAAATCCCATGGTGAAATAAGACTTCTTCAGATATATAACAACTGAAGGAATTCGGTGCCAGCAGACTGCTCTTTAAAGAAAGGAAGTTTCTAAAAAAAAATACAATAAAATAAAGAAAGGAAGTTTCTAGTGCTTGGAAAATTAAAGATTGAAATAGAGATCTACACAGAAGAATGAAGGAATTAAAAAGGAAACTATATGGATAAATGTATAAACTATTTTTCTTATTATTTATATGTCTTTAAAGGACACTTGAGGACATCAGTGGGAATATCAGGACCTCTGAAAATTCTTTCCCCTAAAAAAACCGAGGACAAGACTAACAAAAATGGTCAGAATCAACTTTTTTTAAAAATTTTTTTAATTTTTATTTATTTATGATAGTCACACACACACAGAGAGAGAGAGAGAGAGAGAAGCGCAGAGACATAGGCAGAGGGAGAAGCAGGCTCCATGCACCGGGAGCCGGATGTAGGATTCGATCCAGGGTCTCCAGGATCGCGCCCTAAGCCAAAGGCAGGCGCCAAACCGCTGCGCCACCCAGGGATCCCCAGAATCAACTTTTTAGAACTCTGAAAATTAACCAAAGACTTGCAGCAATCTAGGAACTGTTGACTCAAGAACAAAACAAAACAAAACAAAACCAACAAAAATCAATTGAATCTTGGTAAGAAAACTGACCTTTGTGGTGTTTTAGCTTGCCCTATTCCCACCTTCCCATGCCCAGCTCTGCGGTAGCCTGGAATACTAATAGCCCTCAATCACTGAAAACCAACCACTTGGCAGCCACTGGAGTGGGCAGAAAAGGGTAGGAGCTCCTTTAAAGCTTCCTTCGCAAATTACTGCTCTTATTGATCTGTTTGGTGGTTCCTGGGATTAACACGTTTACAAAGCTTGTCTATATTTGACCTAACACAGAGGTGTACCAGTGCCAACAAACTTTTCCCTGGGGGCATTTGTTAAAACCAATCCGTATCAGTTGTTTAATATTGCAACTGCCTCAAACTGCAGATAACAGTTGAGATAAACAATAAGCTTACTAAAAATCTTAAAATGAAAATCTGGAAGATGTGATGTCCATAGGCTTTAAAAAGCCCTTGGAATGTCTTTGTGGACCTAGAAGGAAACGAACAGGTATAGTGATGTGAGCATGTTCAAGGCTGTGCACATGCTCATGAAAGACCTAGAAGACTCAAAGTTCTCACTGCTGCCTGACTGGGAGGATTCTAGACAAGAAGCAAGAGAAGGCTAAGAGGTGGTTGTGAACTGCCTGGCTAAGAGTTGAAGCTGTACCCCAGTGAGCTCATAGAGCCACTTGGAGATGACTGGGAGATTTACTGGTTCCAGGCATTTAAGAAAATCTCTGTAAAGTAATTATCTGGACACTAATCTAAGTGAGGAGAGACTTTAGTGGCCACACATGATAAAAAATACAAATTTTTATAGATTTAGTACAGTAACATCATTCAACAAACAAATAAGCAACAACAACAAAACCTTTAAAGGAGCATTTGATATGCAAAGCCCTCACATTATTAAATTTCCAATTTTCAAGAAAAAAATTATGAGACATACAAAGAAGCAAAAAAGTATGGCCCATATACAGGAAAAGAAGTAGTCAACAGTAACAGTTCCTTGAGGAAGACTTGACTTTGGACTTAGGTAGACAGGTACTTTAAATCAGCAATTTCTGTTTTCTTAAAGGTAAAAGAAGCCATGAGAATTATGCCTCATTAAAGAGTGAATGTTAGTACAGAGATATAAAATATTTAAAAAAGAACCAATATGTGTGCTCCCTTTGGCAGCGCGTATACTAAAATTAGAATGATACAGAGAAGATTAGCATGGCCCCTGTGCAAGGATGACAAGCAAATTCATGAGGCATTCCATGTTTTTAACTGGAATTTAAATAAAAACTGGGTGTCATGCTATATGTTGGCAAATTGAACTCCAATAAAAAAAAATTAGGAGTATCCCTGGGTGGCTCATCGGTTTGGCACCTGCCTTTGGCCCAGGGTGCGATCCTGGAGTCCTGGGATCGAGTCCTGCATCGGGCTCCAGGCATGGAGCCTGCTTCTCCCTCTGCCTGTGTCTCTGCCTCTCTCTCTCTCTCTCTCTCTCTCTCTCTCTGTGTGTGTGTGTGTGTGTCTATCATAAATAAATAAATAAATAAATAAATAAATAAATAAATAAATAAATAAATAAATGTTTTTAAAAAATTTTAAATAAAAAAACTAGGAGAAAAAGAAGAAAAAAGTACAGAAATACTTTCAAAAAAGGAAGAAGAGCCAATAAGAATTTCTGCAGTTAAAAAAGTAGAAAAACTGAAATGAAAAATTCACTAGTGGGGCTCAACAATTCATCTGAACTGGCAGAAGAAAGAAACAGTACACTCGAAGATTGGTCAAATCAGATTATCCAGTCTGAGGAATAGAAAGAAAAAAGAATGAAGAAAAATGAATAGAACCATCTGAGAACTATGGAACATGGTCAAGTGAACCAATATACATAGTAACAGGAGTCCCACTGGGAAAAGTGAGAGACAAAAGGGCAGAAAGAATATTCAAAGAAATGGTAACAAAAGGTATCAAAATGTGATGAGATACATTTCTCTGCAGATCTAACGAGTTCAATGAACTCCAAATAGAAATAGCTCAAAGAGAATCTCACCAAGATACATGAGAATCAAACTGTCCAAAGTCAAAGACAAAGAGTCTTCAAAGCAGCAAGGCAGAAGAAATTCATCCAGTACAAGGGGTCCTTTATAATATTACTAGCCAATTTCCCATCAGAAAACAATGAAGCTAGAATTACTGGAACAATATATTCAAAGTGCTAAAAGAAAAAAAAAACTATCAACAAAGTATCCTATTCTCGTAGAGCTATCCTTCAAAAATGAATGAGAAAAATGACATCACCAGACCAACTGAGGTGATTCATCATATAGAAATATAAGAAATATATATATAATATAAGAAATATTAAAAGGAGTACTTTCAGCTGAAATGAAAGGGCACTGGACAGTAACTTAAATCCACATGAAAAAATAAAGAATATTAGTATAGGTAACTGTATAGGCAAATACAAAAAAAGAGCACATAGGTATATTTTATTTCTAACTCTTTTTCTTCCTAATTTAAAGTTAGTTATAGTTGCATAACACAATAATTATAAATCCATGTTGATGGGCATGCAATACATAAAGATGTAATTTATATTGCAATAAAAGCACAAAGATGGACAGACAATGGAGCTATGTGGGAGCAAACTTTTTGTATACTATTGAAATTGAGTGGCCATTTATCTGAACTGGATTGTCATAAATTAAGATTTTTAATTGTAAACCACACAGCAAACAAGAAGAAAATAACTCCAAATAAATATAATTTTTAAAATGACAAGGGAATGAAAATGCTATTTAACACAGGAGGGAAGTAATGGAGAAATGTAAGGAAAAAAAGACATAGGATATAAAAAACAAGGAGCAACTTAGCAGTCATAAGTCCTACATTATCAGTAGTTACATTAAATGTGAATGGATTCAGGGGTGCCTGGATGGCTCAGGTGGTTAAACATCCATCTCTTGATTTCAGCTCAGATCATGATCTCATGGTTGTGAGATTGAGCCCTGCAACGGACTCTGCACTGGGCCTGGAGCCTGCTCAGGATTCTGTTTCTCTCTCTGCCCTTCACCCCACTCTCTCCCTCTCAAAAAAAAGTGAGTGGATTAAGCAATACCACCAAAAAAGAAGAGATTGGCAGAATGGATATACAAATCATGGACTACCTATGTGCTGTACATAAGAGATACACTTTAGATTCAAAGACACAAATAGATTGAAAGTAAAGGGATAGAAAAAAAGGGATAGAAAAAATACATCATGCAATGAGTTACAGAAAGATTGACTGGCTATAGTGATATCAAACAAAATAAAATATATTTTTTAAAGGTTTTATGTATTTTTTCATGAGAGACATAGAGAGAGATAGAGGCAGAGGCACAGGCAGAGGGAGAAGCAAGCTCCATGCAAAGAGCCCAATGTGGGACTTAGTTCCCGAACAGTGGGATCATGCCCTGAGCCAAAGGCACATGCTCAACTGCTGAGCCACCCAGGGGTCCCCAAACAAAATAAACTTAAGACAAAAGTTGCTAGTAGAGGGCATCCTGGGTGGCTCAGCAGTTTAGCACTGCCTTTAGCCCAGGACCTGATCCTGGGGACCCAGGATTGAGTCCCACGTCAGGCTCCCTGCATGGAACCTGGTTTTCCCTCTGCCTGTGTCTCTGCCTCTCTGTGTGTGTGTGTGTCTCTCATGAATGAATGAATAAATAAAATATTTTTAAAAAGTTGCTAGTAGAGATAAAGACATTTTATAAGAACAAAAAAGACATTTTATAAGAGCATATGAAAATATGTATGTAGGGATCCCTGGGTGGCACAGCGGTTTGGCGCCTGCCTTTGGCCCAGGGCGCGATCCTGGAGACCCGGGATCGAATCCCACGTCGGGCTCCCGGTGCATGGAGCCTGCTTCTCCCTCTGCCTGTGTCTCTGCCTCTCTCTCTCTCTCTCTCTCTCTCTGTGACTATCATAAATAAATTAAAAAAATTAAAAAAAATAAAATATGTATGTATATATATATGTGTGTGTGTGTGTGTGTGTGTGTGTATAACACATCAGAGTCCCAAAATACATGAAGCAAAATCTGACAGAACTGATGAATAGACAATCCAACAATAATATTTGGATACTTAAATATGCGAATTTCAATAATGAATAGAACAACCAGGTATAAAATCAACAAGAAAATAGAAGACTTGAACAATACTATATAAATCAACTATATCTAATAAACTTCTATAGAATACTTCACCCAACACAGAATAGAGGTTGTTCTAAAGAGCACTTGAAACATTATTCAGGACAGACCATATGTTAACCCATAAAAAAGTCTTTATAAATTTTAAAGGACTGAAGTCATACAAAGTCTGTTCTCTGACAACATCAGAATGAAATTAGCAGCAGGAAATTTGGGAAATTCACAAATATGTGGAATTTGATAACACATCCTTAAATACCTAGTGGTTAACTGAAGACATAACAAAGTAAATTAGAACATACTTGAAAATAAATGAAAACCAAAACACTGCAAAACCCATGGGTTACGACTAAAGCAGTGTTTAGAGAAAAGTTTATTGCTGTAAATGCCTATATTTTTAAAAAGCCTAAAAGATCCAAATAAATACCTAACCTAATACTTTAAAAAGATTACACAAAGGGGTGCCTGGCTTGGTCAGTGGGCAGAACATGTGACTCTTGGACTCCAGGTCATGAGCTCAACCCCACATTGGGTGCAGAGATTACTTTTAAAATGTCTTCATGGGGTGAGGCAAGATGGCAGGGGAGTGGGTCTCCAAGTCACCTGTCCCCACCAACACACCTAGATAACTTTCAAATCATCCTAAAAACCTACTAATTCAACCTGAGCTTTAAAGAGAGGACAGGTGGAACGCTACAGAGAGGAGAGTTTGCGCTTCTAACAAGTACAACCCGTTTTTAGCCACTCTGCATTGACTAGAAAGAAGAACTCACCACAAAAGAAACAGAAACAGTACTCGCTGCCACAGAGTTACAGAATTTGGATTACAATTTGATATCAGAAAGCCAATTCAGAAGCACAATTATAAAGCTACTGGTGGCTCTGGAAAAAAGCATAAAGGATTAAAGAGACTTCATGACTGCAGAATTTAGATCTAATCAGGCCGAAATTAAAAATCAATTAAAAGAGATGCAATCCAAACTGGAGGTCCTAACAATGAGGGTTAATGAGGTAGAAGAACGAGTGAGTGACATAGAAGACAAATTGATGTCAAGGAAGGAAGCTGAGGGAAAAAGAGAAAAACAATTAAAACACCATGAGAAAAGGTTAACGGAAATAAATAACAGCCTCAGAATGAAAAATCTATGTTTAATTGGGGTTCCAGAGGGTGCCAAGAGGGAGAGAGGACCAGAAAGCATATTTGAACAAATAATGGCTGAGAACTTCCTTAATTTGGGGAGGGAAACAGGCATTCAGATCCAGGAGATATAGAGGTTCCCCCCCCTAAAATCAATAAAAACTGTTCAACACCTCAACATTTAATAGTGAAACTTGCAAATTTGAAAGATAAAGAGGAAATCCTTAAAGCAGCAAGAGACAAGAGATCCCTAACATATGGGAGGAAATATTAGATTAACAGCAGACCTCTCCACAGAGAACTGGCAGGCCAGAAAGGGCTGTCAGGATATATTCAGGGTCCTAAATGAGAAGACAGACCATGCAGCCAAGAATACTCTATCTAGCAAGGCTCTCATTCATAATAGAAGGAGAGATAAAGAGCTTCCAAGATAGGCAGAAACTGAAAGAATATGTGACCACCAAACCAGCTCTGCACGAAATATTAATGGGGACTCTATAAAAGAAAGAGGATGCCCAAAGAAATAATCCACAAAAACAGGGACTGAATAGGTATTATGATGACACTAAATTCATATCTTTCAATAGTAACTCTGAATGTGAATGGGCTTAATGACCCCATCAAAGGCACGGGGTTTCAGACAAGATAAAAAAGCAAGACCCATCTATTTGCTGTCTACAAGAGACTCATTTTAGACGTAGAGACACCTCCAGCCTGGAAATGAAAGGTTGGAGGACCATTTACCATTCAAATGGTCCTCAAAAAAAGCAGGGATAGCAATCTTCATATCAGATAAATTAAAGTTTATCCCAAAGACTGTAGTCAGAGATGAAGAGGGACACTATCATATTTAAAGGATCTATCCAACAAGAGGACCTAACAATCATGAATATTTAAGCCCCTAATGTGGGAGCTGCCAAGTATTTCAATCAATTAATAACCA